GCTGCCCGCCTCCCCGCCCCTCCACTCTCTGTAGTTCACCCCCAACCTGCCCTGCTGTGCTCATGACCTTCCTCGAGTCACAAGGAGAAGCAAAGACGGGCCCAGGTGCTGAAGCCTCGGCGTCACTGCAGGTTCTGGGTGTTCCCAGGGCTCCGCCTGCCATGCCCTGGGTGATCAGTCATACATTTCTACACCTGAAGCCATCCGGGCAAGCACGTGCCTGAGTGCCTGCCCCAGGCTCAGCCCCCATAACTCCAGGCACTCAGGGTCCACAGCCTGGGGAGCCCAGAGCAGGGAGCTGACACGGCTGGGTGGGGGAGGCTGCATGCTGGGGCAGAATTCAGCCTAAGGAAAGGAGGCGCAGGACAGCCCCCCTCGGACAACTGTACAGCCAAAAGCACGGCGGTGGCAGAGCGTGCGAACCCCTCCGTGGCTGAAGTCCCGAGACTGAGAGGTCAGGGAGACCGTTCCCCCCACAGGTGCAGAGGACAGCTCGGCTCTGCTCACTGGCTTCTGGTTTTCTGCCCAAGTTCTGGTGTGAGAGGTCCCAGTGGATCTCCAGTGGGCCGCTGACACCTCAAACTGAGCTCACCTCCCCCCACGTCACCAGCGGCTTCCCCTTGGGTTATTTCCATTTCCAGCAAGAGGCACAACCAACCATCCAGGCAGCCGCCTCACTCTTCATTACTCACCAGACCCCGAGGTTCTGTGGCTTCCCAGCTCTCAGCTGTGCCCCCACCCCAGTGCTGCCGCCCCTCAGGCGGGCCTGCACTTCTGCCCTGGGTGTCCACACAGCCTCTCACCTGGCCACCTGCCCAGTCTTCCCCGCCCTGTCTCAGGGGACCTTCCTGACGGGTACATTGGACAAGCCTCTCGGGAATCCTTCACCATCCCCCTAAGCATTGGGGGAGGGGGCGCATTACCTAATCCTCTAATGATCCTTTGAGGAAGGTTTTACCGTTACCCTCATCCTGTGGACAAGGAGCAGGTCTAGGAAGGTGAAGCACCTTGCCTGGTGTCAGTCAGCTAATGAGGAGCGGAATTGAAACTCAAGCCCTGCTGGTTGAGCGTGGTCCATGCAGCTCTCTACACCGCCTGCTTCCTGCCTGAGGGGTCAGGGAGTGTCTGGTGACCAGTGACAGACTCAGGAGGGACCCAGGTCACCTTCCCCTTGGCCTCACAGCTCCAGGCAGGCCCTGGGGGTGGGGGAAGGTCCAGGGGATGTGGAAGGGACTGGCCAGGGACACACGCCTCTGCCTTCTCCCTGCCAGCTGTGCGGCGCCTGCTATGAAGTCACAGCATCACAAGCTGCTGGCCTGTCTCAGTGCGGGCGGGGATTTCCAGGAATAAAGAAGGAAGTGCTGGGACTTCCCTGGTGGTCTAGTGGCTAAGACTGTGCTCCCAATGCAGGGGGCCCAGGTTCAACCCCTGGTCAGGGAACTGGATCCCACATGCTGCAACTAAAGAGTCTGCATGCCACAACGAAGACCAAGCACAGCCAAATAAATGAAAGGAGAAGCTTTGGGAAACTCAAGCCAGAGACCCTGCTAGGGACAGATATACAGAGATGCGGGGTGGAGTCCCACTTTCCCTGAGGGTTCTAACGGAGGTGAACAAACCCACTCTCTGCACTGGAAGATGGTAGGAGAGAGAAACCCAGTGACACTTTGCAGAGGAAGGGCTTCCCTGGTGGTGCTAGTGGTAAAGAATCCATCTGTCAATGCAGGAGCCGCAAGAGATGCCGGTTTGATCCTTGGGTCAGGAAGATCCCCTGGAGGAGGGTGCGGCAACCAACCTACACCAGTATTCTTGCCTGGAGAAACCCATAGACAGAGGAGCCTGGCGGACTAAGGTCCACAGAATTGGAAAGAGTTGGATACGACTGAAGCAACTTAGTACACAGTAAACACATATCACTGCACACAGGGAAGGGAGAGGATGGCCGGGGAGACAGAGACCAGGAATAGAGTAGCAATGGGCCTCAGATGATTGGAAAGCTGAACTTGTCCTCAGGAAGGCCATTTCAGGGAAGAAAGAAGAGAGTCCTGCAGCCTGAAGTGGCAACTTTATTAAGAAATCAGGAAACTGAAGAGGGTGTGTCCAACTAGAGGGCCCTCTCCCAGTGGACAAGCCTTTTCTCTTGAGTAGCGATGAAGACACACTAGAGGGTGTGGCGCTGAGAGAGGGCACTGGGCCCTCTTGACATGGCTAGATAAGAGCCGTGTGTGGCCCAGGCTTGGTTGGGAGGAGATGGAAAAAAAGTATAGTTGTGCTATCAGGGGGGAGGGGTGGGATAAATAAGATGATTTTTGGAGTATAATTTAAATAATTGGAGCTCACAAAATGATACATGGTTTTTTTTTTTAATAAAAAATTGTCCTCTATATAGGCAGATCGAGGCACAGCTTGGGGCAGCCAGCCCTGCAGGGGAAACTGTATCCCCCAAGCGACTCCAGCTGGATGTCGGGCCGAGAGTGGCAAGAGGTGGAGGAAGGGGGTGATCCCAGGGATGGAGCAGCCCTTCTCACTGACCACAGCCTTGAGGGCTGCCGTGACAGGGCCTGATTCTTTTCTTTTTGGCCGAGCTGAGCTGTTTGTGGGGAGGCTTAGCTCCCCAACCAGAGATCAAATCCAGGCCCCCTGCAGCAGGAGCGCAAAGTCTGAGCCACTGAACCGGCAGGGAAGTCCCAGTCTGATTGAGGCTGCACTCTTGTGACCACCAGACTGGCAGCAGGCGGGGAGCCGGGGCCGGAGCCGACCACCAGGTGGCGGTGTGCAGCTCTTTCCCCAGGGCCGGGGCGGGGGATCCTGTGGGTTTACCGTAGACCAGGGGCTGGCGCTGAGCCGGCACGGCGAGCAGGTTCGCGGAAAGGATGTTGAATGAATCCTCAGCCCTGGGTGCCCACGAGGGCACGGTCTGGCCTGGTGTGGGCTCAGCACCCTGAAGGTCAGCGCGACTTTCCCCTGTTCCAACAGTCAGCCTTGGGCCCTAAGTCACTCGTCTGGCCCATGTTGAGCATCTACTGTGTGTGGGCGCTGAACTAGACTCCGGGGATACAGATTGGGGAAGGGAGCTCCCACTCTACCTGGGTGTGTGTGTGGGTGGGTGGGTGAGTAGGGGGCGGCTAGACGCAGTGAGCTCCCAATGCCAAATCAGCGACAAAGGAGGGAGGGGCCTGCGAGGCTCAGACAGCCCCCAGCAGGTGATCTCTAATGAGGGCTTAAAAGATGAGGAAGGTTAGAGCAAAGGAGAGACAGGATCCTGTCTGTGCTTGAAATTACAGACCATCGAAACCACAGAAAGCTGGGCAGCTGCTGGCGAGATGGGAGCCGGCGGGTGAGCCCTGGGATGCGCTCAGGTGACAGGCAGCTGGCTGGGGAGAGGGCACAGGGACGGGCCTCACCGGACGTGCACGCAGGGCTGCTGAAGGCAGTGGGCCCCGGGCACCCTGTGGGTATCCCGTGCTGGACTGATTTTCTATGAGGGGCACATTTCACTGTTTTAAAAAACCAGGAGACAGGGAGGAATGGGGAACAAGCGTTTCAATGAGTTCCCTTTTTGGGGGGATGAAAATGGGGGAGCCAGGTGGAGGTGGTGGGTGCACAGCACTGTGACGGCCACTGCGCCGTCAGTCCCTTTGAAGGCAACCATCTTAATGTTTGAAGAGACAGTAAAACAAAGCACCTACGCGGCTGGCTGCAGGTGGGAGCTCAAGCTGGAGTTACCCTGCTGGGGTTACCCTGGACCCGGCCCAGAGGGGGGTCCACGTGAGGCGGTGGTGGTGGAGAGGGCAGCGACCCAGCCTGAGGGGGGCCGGCCTCTTGAGGTGCAGGAGGACAGAGGGTCTTCCCGCCCGGGGAGGCACGGGGCCCAGCCCTGGCCTGTGTCCCCACAGCGGGCCCTGAGCCCCGCGCAGGAGGAGTGGACCACAGGCTCCAGGAACCCATGCTGTCATGTGAGATGCGTGCACAGCCAGCCCGTGAGAACTGCCCACGGTCACCAGCAGGCAGGGCCACGGGACTCCGGCTCTCACAGGCCGACAGGGGAGGGGTGGGCACACTGGCCAACGGCGGAGTCCCCGGGGGCCTCTGGGGAAGTGTCCCCGGGAAGGGGCTCGCAGCCCATTGACGACGGGAAATGGCCCAGAGACCCGGGCTCTTGGTTCAGAAGAGGAACTGAAACAGCTGGTGTCAAATCTCCAGCAGCCCTGGGGCCAAGACTCTCTTCCCCTCCCAGCCTGGACTTCTGGGCCCCGAGGCGGCAGCAGGAGGGGGCTGAGGAGCGGGAACCAGCGGGTCTTGGGAGGGAACGACCAAGGAAGAGGGGACAGTGGGGGCGCCTGTCCGGCCACCTCGGCTGCCTTCCGTCAGGATGGCAGGGCTGCTGGTGGCTGGCCAGCCCTGGGAGGAACAGGAGGGGCATGTGCATGAGCGTGGGCAGAGAGAAGAGGTCTTCCGTGCTGGCGGTGGTTATATATGCACACCTGAGAGGCATGTGGTTTGGAAAAGACACTGGTGGTGGTGACTTCCGTAACTTCCAGGTAGCAGTCTCATTTTGATAAGCATGACTATTTTTGATGCTGAGTTTTACATGTGACAGGGATCCTTGTCATTCTTTTATTTTTCGGTCATGCCGCACAGCACATGGGATCCTAGCTCCCCAACCAGGGATTGAAGCTGCGTCCTCTGCATAGGAAGGGTGGAGTCTTAACCACCGGACCACCAGGGAAGTCCCAGGATCCTGTCAATTCTTGACCGAGAAGTTTGGGCCATGATTCCCGATGGCCATTCCTCACACTTACGGAGCATGTCCATGTGCCGGGAGCCACGAACAAGATCTGTCAGGGGAAGCCTCGGCTGGCACCACCCAGCACTGCAGGGTATCTTCCTCGGCGATGGAGAAACTTCTCCTTGTCCGTCATGGTCACGTCTAGTGCCTCCTTCAGGAACTCCCATCCTTCTGAAATGTTCTTGTATCAAATACTTCACAGAGATGTTGATCCATTTGTTCTCGTTAACTTTATTTAGGGCTCAGAATTAACATTGACAAAACATATCACTGAATCACTTGTTTTTACTTTTTCCAAAGTTGGATTTTTGCTTCACTGCCACATTTGATCACCACACATATTTTCACAGGTCCTGGGAATTCTTTATTACATTCATTGAAATGCTCCAGATTGTCAGTCCAGTAATCCATTTTTCAGCCAACGACCATGCTACACGACAATAAGAGGGTGAAATTATTCACACAATTCTTCCTTCTTTTCCCTCTTTAGCTTGTAAACTTCTGACGTGTCCTTTGCCAGTCAAGGTGCTTCAGTGTGAAACAGAACAGGGGAGGGCTGTGTCTCTGCGTGAAGATAGAGACAGGGATGGGGACAGCACGGGCTCAGCCCTGGACGGGATCGGGCCTGCAGGCTCCCCTGACCAGGGTCATGTCTGATGGGGAGCCTGATGGAGTGGCCAGTCCTGGGCTTCAGTGATCCAAGGTGGCAGCTTTTGTTAGCTGGTGTGTCCCTTGTCACAGTATGTGTCTGCTGACTCTGCTTCCTTGGCCCCAGGCACAGTGTGGATGAATTCCCCATGGTCGGGTGAAACGAGTGGTCTGCACACGTGGGAGGCATTTCAGCGCCAGTCACAAGCCACGTGACCTGCACCTAACTCTGAGCACAGTCTGACACGGATATAACAAAGAACATAAACTCCTTTTCCACAACAGGTTGTTTTAAAAAATGCATATGCTTTCCTTTCTGCCGAACTTGACGATGTCGGGTGAGGCACTTCATGGTGTGCCCGGCACTCCTGCCTGATCTGGTGACCTCTCTGTGCGAACAGGACATGGGGAGGACAGTCGGGATGTGGGAACACGTGTGACACAGTCCTGGATGGCCTCATTATGGAAATGTGTTTCTAAAATCAGTGTTGGGTGAATTTGATGACATTCAGAATTTAATTAAAATGTGGGAAAATAAACAGTTGTGAAGATTAGATCTGTTCCTGCAACAAAAATCACTACAGAAAAACAGGGAATCTGAATACAGACTGCAGTTTAAGTTTCCAGTGAGTACTAATGTTCATTTCTCGGGTTTCATAAATGATCTGGGAGTGGGCAGGGGTGGGGTGGGAGTGGGGGTGGGAGCTCTATATCCTCCATGAAACTCCTCTGTAGGTCTAAAATTATTTCAAAATAAAGCGACAAAAACTGAATCTCCTAAATATAAGGTATGTAAGGAGATTATTATAAGGGCTCTGTGGCTTCAGGAAATTCATAAATTTGAAGACCTTGTGAAATCTTCAGAATTTTCTAAAACAAGTTGTCCTGAAAAACTAAAAAAAAAAGAATGTATAAAAATAGGGAAAATTGAATACTTATTTTAATTCAATAATTAAAATGGAAAAACTCATAAAATACAACGGACTTACTCTTGTAATATAAGCTGTTTTAGGAAAACTGATTTTCTAAAGCCTTAAATGCATACAGTCTACTTTGATAATGAACTGGTTTAAACTATGTTCAATTTTTTTCTTAAAATACATTTTCAAATGTTTCTAGAAAAACAAATGATAATTCACTCTGCAATTCCATAAAACTTTGGCTAATTTTTAACAGAAAACACTAATAGTAATCAAGAAGAAATAACAGAGAATGTCAACAAAATAAATTACACTCTATTTGGGAAGACCAAATATCAGATAACAAGGACAGTAATCAGAATAAAAACCTGAAGATAATAATCACACATACCTTTTAGTTTAGCAGAAAAGTTAGGGAGAAGACACGAAACTCAAGGGAAGTGGCCTGGGGCAGTCTCAAGAGAATCCTGCGGAATTACTCAGCAGGAAAAGAACTCCACAGCTCAGGAGGTTCACCAAGGGGCAGGAAACGGTGCTCAGGTGTGCCTTCAGCTGCTTCTGAAAGGCTGTGTTTTGAAAAGGCCTTTGATGTTCTGTGACCGGGACTGACAAGCAGGAGGCGAGCCGGGGCGGGTGGTGAGCCCTGGGAGGTCCCTCTGGTTGAAGAAACCAGACTTGGATCCCTGCAGTTTACACAGCTGATTAATGAACACCGAAGCACAGGTGAGGGCTGAGGGGGCTCGAGGAGGGGCAGCGAGGGCTGTGGTGTCTGGGGAGGAAGCTGCCCCCCACCCCCAGCACCTCTCCCCTCTGCAGGCCTCTCAGCAGCCCTGCAGGGACTGCAGCACAGCGTGAACGGCCCATTTTACAGTTGGGGAAACTGAGTTCTAGACAGGTTCACTGGCCTGCCCAAAGCCACACAGGGTTCCTGGTGTGTCCTTCCATATCACTGTGGCCGGGCTCAGTGGAGATCTGAGGAGGTGGGCAGTGAGGATGCATGCCCCGCAGGGAGAGCACAAGGCTTGGAGTGGGGGCACATAGGGCACCAAGGGGGCAGGATCCCTTGAGTGTCCACATCTCTCCTCCCTCTGGGTGGCCAGGCCCTCAGGACCAGCTGAGGGAGTCACAGGTGGAGGGCCGCCCTGCAGGCCCAGGCGGCACTGTGAGACGGATACACAGATGGTGGGTCAGGAAGGTCCATGTGGAAGGAGCTGGGAGGGCAGGTGGCACCAGGTGAGGGGAGGCGGGATAAGACAGCGTGTGTGGGGGGTCAGATGAGACCCCGGGCCAGGTCACTGCAGTCAAGTGGGGCCACAGCAGGGAGCTTGGGGAGCTGAGGAGGCCCAGAGCTGGAGAAGAGGAGGCTGCAGAAGGATCCGTGGGTCCAGGCTTCTCCAGGCAGGGCCCAGAAATACTGCTGGCTGGTGTGGGGTCTGTCCCAGAGGGCCCTTCCAGGCGTAACTCTACCCTGAGGCCCAGCAGAGGCTTCAGGCTCTGCAAAAACACAAGGACACGCACCGTCCCCTCCAGCCCTCGGCCCACCCTGGGGAGAGGCCCGGAGCCCTGCACGCGGCTCATTCACCGGTGGCTCCTGTCCTAGAGGAGCCCCGGAGAGGAGGGAACTGAGTCAGAGGCTCTAGCAGAGCCTGGTGGTAGCCCACCAGGTACAGTCCACAGGGCACCTGTGGTCTCCTGGGACCCACAGCCCCGAGGCCCCGCCTGCCGCAGGCCGGCAGGAACTGCAGGGCCTCCTCGAGAGATGCCCAGAGGCACCAGCAGGGGGAGCCACGGGCCTGCGCTTGAGCAGGCTCCTTCACCCCGCCCGCTCAGCTGGCCCCAGCACCCTCTCACCCCGGGGGAATGAGGCTCAGGGGCCATAGACCCGGCCTCCCGCACGGGACGCCTGCCCAGAGGCCGGCCAGGGCCTGAGTGCAGGGCGAAGGAGTAGCAAGTACAGCAGGTCCAGGAGGGCCAGCTGTGGCTGTGGCACCACTGCCTAGACCAGCACTGTGCCCAGCTGCACCCTGATGGTGCCCACGCATGTGGGGGTCTTCACTCAACACCACCTCCCTGAGGGGGGCCCAGCTACCACCCACTCCCGCCCCGGCAGCAGCAGCTTGGTCACCATTGGCTCATGGCCGTCACTGGATGTCAGGGTCCTGGAAGCCCCAGGCCTCCACAGCAGCGATAAGGAAGTTCTCAGAGCAGAGAGGCTGGTTGTTGAAAGTGTCGCAGTGGCCCGTGCGGCCCCGGTTCAGGTCCCCGTCGATGTACAGCGCCTGGCCGCCCCCTCCACCTGCGGGATGCTCGGTCAGTGGCTGCCCGCCGTCGAGTGCTGCCCCGGGGGACCCTCCTCCTGCTCCTGAGCCACTCCCTTCAGACCAGGCGAGTCTTGGGCTGGCCTTGTCCAGCCCTGCCACAGGCCTCTGTAAAACCACAGGGCTGCTTTCTACGGCAACCTGTGCCCCATCCCCCAGCACGCAGCCTCAGGTCCCCATGCTGCCCACGTGCCTGCGCCACCCACAACGATCTGCCGCCTTCTTCCTGCCATTGAGGGGGCTCTGCCTATCCCTCAGGTGAGGCACCTACCACCCAGCTCAGCCAGGACTGGCCCAGGGCTTCGGCACCCATGACCCTGTACCCTCCTCCCAGCTAAGTGACCGTGGACAGGCAGGAGCCGGCCGGAGGTGGAGGGCGGCGCCCACCTATGATGAGGCAGTCGCTGCCCCCGGCCATGAACAGGGACTCCGTCTTGGAGGGCAGGTTGAAGTGCCGAGTAGCCAGGAACGGCGAGAGGCGGTCGGAGCTCTCAGAGGACAGAGAGTGGCTCGGGGAGGATGAAACGGTGGCGGACTCCAGGGACGCGGACTCCAGCGATGCGGGCTTGGTCAGCTCTGGGTGTTTGATAACCACCCACTCGTAGCGCTGGACCTCGGGCTGCAGCTGAGGACAAAGGGCGGTGTGAGGACTCGACCGCGGTGCCCGCTCTCCCCCAGGGCTCGTCGCTGGTGCCCAGTGCCCAGAGGACCCGCACCACAGAGGGCCGCCTGCTCTCCGAGCTCACCTCTAAGGGTCACACCCCAGCAGGCGACGGGGAGGCGTGACAGGGGGAGGCATGTCTGGAAGGAAGCAGGGTCACATGAGGGGGTGACCTCCCGCGGGGGGCCCACTCACCCTAAACACGAAGCATTCTCCGGTCCCGAAGAAGCCCAGCTTGCCCCCAAACTTGTTTCTCTCACTCCAGTCTGTTGACAGGTAGGCGCCACACACCTGGGGAGGAAGGCCCAGGGTGAGGCTGCACCTGCTGCGCCCACGGGAGCCCCCCAGCACTCAGGGTACCTGAGAGCCGAGGCTCAGTCACCGCTGGGGGGTCGTAGTCACAGCCGCACCTGTTGTCACAGTCACACCCTGACCATCAGAAGGCCAGGGAAGGTCAGGGTGCGGAGAGAGGGCCGGCAGGGAGCAGGCGTGGAGGCTACCTTGGCCGCTGCCAGCTCCTGGGGTACTTCCATTTTCCCCCTGGGCCCGGAAGCCTGGGGACAAGCCCATGTCCACATCCCAACTATGGGCATCAGCCCAGGGAGGCCCCTCAGATGGGAGCTTCCAGGAGGCACCTGCTCAGGAAACACTCCCCAGGCCTCCTATCAGCCAGCAAAGTACTTGATTTCACCATTAGAGTCACTCCTCCGAGTGGTTACGGAGGTATCTGACACTTGGGCCACCTGCTGTAACAGACACCCGGGCTCCTCCGGGGAGCCGGACGCAGGGTCTGAGGCTGAGGAGACAGTCCCGCAGATGCAGCTGGGCGTCTGGGAGCCACCACAGCACACAGGCGCTCCAGGATGGAGGCGCTCATTTTTCTAGACACCTTAAGTACATTCCAGATGACAGCCACTGCAGAGAACAAGGCTCTGAGAACTACCTGCTGGGGTGGAGGAGGGGAAGGCACCGGCAGACTACTGCAGGAGGACGTGGGACCTCGCTTAGCCAGCATTTCTGCAAAGTTCCTCTAGACTGCCGGGCCAGTCAGGCTGGGGGTCTGGACCCCAGGGGAAACGGAGGCCCTGGGAACTTGGGGGGTCATGTAAGGAGGCTAGATTTACCTCTCTGTGGAGGGCAAGCCCTGCTCTGCACGCCTAAGCCCAGGAAACCTGGGTGGGGGCTACCAGGGAACACCCACCCTCCCAAGAGGCTAGGAGCCAGGGTCTCCCTGGCTGGTCCTTACCTCCTTCTGTGTAGTCTTGATCAGCAGAACAGTGGGCTCTCGTCCTTCACACTGGAAGTAGAACCTGGGGGCAGAGAATGGCCTGGCCATTCTGACAGGCCCCTTCCCTGGCTGCCTCCCCCCAGCCGCTGCTGACCCTGGCTGCCCAGGGTGGGCAGACGGACCTGACACCTGCCTGTCCTCCTCTCCTGGGAACCAGGCACATGGCTTGGATGGCAATGCCTGGGCTTGGGCGCTTCTGCCAACGGGGAGCCCCAGCCAGGAGGCCACAGGCCAAGCAGTCAGAGCCCTGGACACTCTGCCCTGATGTGCCTGGAGAAGAAGCGGCAGGGCAGATGGCCCCTAGCAGACAGCCACGTGCCAAGAGCTTTGGGGAAGCCAGAACCAGAGGAACAGGTCTGTGCTCTGGGAAAGCTTGGAGCGTTCTTGGGCACTGGCAGCACCGGGGAGCCAGGAGGAGGCCTGAGGCCACCGCTGTGCCAGCACAGGTGCCCAGGGCTTGGCCAACGTCCCTCCATGGGCCTCCCACACCACACAGGGGGGGCTGGCTATGCCAGAATATGCAGGTGGCGCTCAACGGTGTCTGCCATGTGGATTGGGCCCCTCCGTCTGCATCGCCCGTGACCCAAGACAGAGCGTGGGTCAGAAGCCATCTGAGGCTCCCAGGGTGCCTCGGGGGAAGCCTCCCAGAATCCCCTGGACACTGGGCAGGGCCCAGCACAGCCCACAGGGCCAAGACGGACCTGGTGTGGACTGGTGAAATGGGGGTGGAAGAGCAGTACCCAAGGCCGGCCGCCTCGAGTTGTCCTGACATTCTGTAAGCTCGAGGGCAGGGGAGCCTGCGCCTGATCACCACCACACCTGTGTGAGGCCGCGGAGCCCCGCAGGTGCTGCAATGACCTTAACCCTAACCCCTGCAGTGGGGGTGGCCCTGGAGTGAGAGATGCTCAGAAGAGGGGCTCCCAAGTCTAGGCCCCAGGAAGAAGCAGGGCCTTGCCCAGGCACCTGTGTCTGCAGGAGGCCTCTGGCCTCCAGGACGTGCAGGCAGGACGAGACGATGGGCAGCCCCATCCCTTCTGCTCCGTCTGGCCCTTGGCATCCAGACCTCAGCACCTCAAGGGGGCAGGCCCAGGGCCCTGCCTCCGGGGCGTTACCTGGTCAGGCTGTACCCATGCTGCAGTGAGGAGAAGAGCAGGAGGGGCTGGCAAAGGGCGAACCGCTCAGGGACCCACGACCAGATGTCTCTCATCTCCTTCACACCAACGATCTCTGAGTGGAAGTTGTCTGCATGAACGGCCAGGTGCACGAACTGCCTGAGGGAGCGGGCAGAGGTCAGAGCAGAGCTGCAGCCCCAGCCCCAGCCATGCACTCTGCCCCCTCCCGGGAGGGGTGAGCCTCTCATGGGAGCTCAGCCTGGAGGGAACTTCTTACCTGCGGAGCCAGGTCAGAGCCTGGTAGGGGCCTCAGAGGCCCTCAGGAGGGCACGGGGTGGAGCTAGCCCTGGAGTCCCACTCCCACCCTGCTACAGAGGGGACAGAGCCCAGCCCGGGGACGAGAACGAAAGCCCCCTTTCTCTAAGAAACGGGGACAGAGAGAGTCAGCTCTGGCAAGACAATGTTTCCAGGCCAGCCAAGCACCGACAGCAGATAGACAGACAGACAGGCATGAACGCCGGCAAGCCAAGCACCAATAGGCAGACAGACAGACAGGCCTGAACATCAGCCAGGCTCTGGGGCAGCACTGCTGAAGCCAGCCCTGAGAGCTGGAGCAAGCAGCCAGGCCAGAAGACAGAGAGAAGCCAGGTGTGGAGACACGGTTTCCAGACCTACCTTTTAGAAAGTGAAACACTGAAAAACAGGAGGAAGCAATGGACACGGAGAACAGGAAGAAAAATAAAACAGACAAGGAGAGGTTAGTGGCAAGTACTAACACCCAGGACACGCCTGCCTTTGGCCCACGAGAAAGGCTTCCACACCTACAGATGGGGCACAACAACAGCCGCTGAGGTCTCAGCACACATGGGCCCTCCCCAGGCTGGCTCCCCAGGTGGCTGTGCTCGGGACGGGGGGCTACCAGGATGGGAACCCGGAGCTGAGGGGTGGGCATCAAGAGCGGCTCCAGAGTGTCCCAGGGAGGCCAGCCTGGCTCCCTCCTGGGCCCACGGGCACCACCGTTGGCTCCAGCCTCTGTCTCGTCCACAGGGCCCCGCACCCACAGCTGCCTTGGCTGCCTGCAGCTGCACCAGACAGGCCCTGTCTCCTGGCTGGTGGTTTTCTGTATGCGCACGGAGGGCTTACCAGCCAGCGGTCGGTCGAGCTCAGGCACCAAGCCCCCAGGATGCTTCCTCACAGGCCCCACCCCATCCGGGCCCCAGAGGTGGCCCCAGTGGCCTGCCTACCTCTTCTGCTTGACGGTGATGCCCTTCTGCTTCAGAGCTTTTTCATTGGCCATCTGCAGGAGCTGAATCTCCTTCCGAGAGAAGAGGCGGATGGCAAACGCCTTCTCCAGCAGTTTCTCGGGAGATACGGTCTTGGCGATGTCCCTGACGAAGGTGCGGATGTCCTGCTTCACATTGTCTGACTCGAGCGGCTGCCCCGCCCTCACCTTGTGGAAGAACTTGAGGATGGCCAGCGCCACGCGGTACAGCACCTTGTAACCCTCCACCAGGAAGACGTCAAAGACACGGGCGAAGTAGCTGAGGGGCAGCTCCCCGAAGAGCCAGCGCTGCCAGTCCGCGTACACCTGCAGGACGTCCTCTGACACGGCCACCATCAGCTGGTGGGCTGCCTGGCAGTACTTGTTCACCAGGTCCCCAAACGTCATGCAGGAAGACTCGAAGGCCAGGAAGCTCTGGTCTACCAGCTTCCTGCTGGGGTCCTTGCAGGCCAGGATGCGGCAAGCCTTCTCGAAGCACTCGGCCTCATCGGCACTGTAGTGCAACAGCAGAGCCACGACCGCGGGCAGCGCGGGGCAGAAGGAGACGTCGGGGAACTGGTTGCTGATGCACAGCAGGATCTTGCGCACAGCGCCCTCGCCCTTCGAGTTCAGGCAATAGCTGGGCACCTGCGTGTTGTCCACAAACTCGGGCAGGGGCAGGCTGGTGCTGCTGTGCTTGCCCACGATCTTGCCGACGATGTCTCTGTACACGCTGGCATCAGGGGTGACCGTGCGGCAGGGGATGTCCCGGATCAGGCGCTGGTACACCTGCCCCCGCAGGGCGTAGCTGCGGGCCCAGTAGCCCTGGCGCGCCAGCTGCTTCAGCTCCGGCAGCTCCATGCAGCTCAGCTCCTTGGGCCCCAGGTCCGGGATGGCCGAGTCCATCTTGTCTCTGTCCACAAAGCAGCTGTAGGCTGGGGGGTTCATCGTGCAGGGCGCAGCGGGGGGCGGGAGGGGGCAAAGGGCAGCTACATCCACCGGCACCTTCTCTGAGGCTTCTTGGCTAACCTGTCTGCCATCCCATGCCCTGCAGGATTAAAAACCATGCTTAATAATGTGTGTGGCATGAAGGTTTACGTTTTTTTAAAAAATGTCTGTTTTAATCTTTCTACAAAGTTATCAGTAGGGCTTCCCTTTAAGATAAGTGGATATTCTTGAGAATTCACTACAAGCTCTGGAGCATAACTTCTTTTCATAGGGCTTCAGCGGGTACTGGGAGAGGTCACACAGGCTCTGGGTCATGAGAAAAGGCTTTGAGAGGCTGACTCAGCAGTAAACACCTCTTTGCTCAGGGCTGGTGGCCTGCCTGGCCCTCACTCTTCCCTTTGCAGCCTGGGGGCCTCTGAAAGGAGCCGCTGGTCCCGAAGACCCCGGGAGGTCACCAGACGCTGCGTCCCAGCTCACACAGGCTCACAGCCTCTGCCCGGCCGTGTGTCATGAGCAGGACACAGACCTACTCTGCCCCACGGTCGATGGCCTGGAACCTGGATACTGGCTCTTAACTTTCTAAAAATAGCAGCTACGCTGCAGGCAGGCATTCCACAGAAGAGTCACTGGTGGGAAGAAGACATGAAGGTGGAGAAATAAATGGAAGGTGTCACAGCTTCAGAATCAGAAGTTTCTGGAACCAAATGAGCCGGAGGTATTGGGGGATTTGGTACCGTCTCTCCATTATGGGCATCTATGGAGATTCCTGTAGATGTTTTTTTAAAAAACGGGTAACAGGTGCTATTTGAAACTCCAGCTGCACATGGACAGCAAGAAGGAAGTCTACTGCTCAGATGTCTACCACAATCTGATGTCTGTTTTTGCCAGAGGCTACTGTCCTCAGCACAGAAGTACTAACCACACACCTCAGACTCACCTTTCCACCTGGGATGGTACACTGTCCGGAGATCTCACAAAGGGCTGTTTGCCTCAGTGACCTTCGGTAAGTGATCAGAGCATTCCTGTTTTGCTTGCATCAAGAACATTTATCTGAAAACAGAAAAAGCAAGCAATACTTCACAAGGCTGCACCACCACAGCATCATCTCTGAACTTTTTCATCTCCCCAAACAGAAACTCTGCACCCATTAAACACCAACTCCCAATTCCTGGCCTCCAGCCCCTGGTAACCGCCACTCTGCTTTCTATGAATTCGACCACTCTAGGCATCTTGTATTAGTGGAATCATACAATATCTGTCCTTTGGTGTCTGGCTTATTTCATTGATCATAAAGTCCTCAAGGTTCATCAATGTTGACAGCATGTATGAGAATGTGAAAGTGAACGTGAAAGTCGCTCAGTTGTGTCCAGCTCTTTGCAACCCCATGGACTGTAGTCCATGGAATTCTCCAGATCAGAATACTGGAATGGGTAGCCTTTCCCTTCTTCTCCAGGGGATCTTCCCAACCCAGGGATTGAACCCAGGTTTCCCGCATTCCACACGGATTCTTTACCACCTGGGCCACAAAGGAAGCCCAAGAATACTGGAGTGGGTAGACTATCCTTCTCTAGTGGATCTTCCCAACCCAGGAATCAAACTGGGGTCTCCTGCATTGCAGGCAGATTCTGTACCAACTGAGCTATCAGGGAAGCCCATGTATGAGATACATTTTTAAAACTTAAGACTATTATTTAGAGCAGTTTTAGGTCCACAGCAAAATTGAGAGGATAGTACATACTCTGTCCACGTAGGCATAGCCTCAACATTATCAACCTTCCCCATAGATGAGACATTTGCTACAACTGATGAGCTTAAACTGACACATCACTGAATCTATGAATTAACGTGGATTCCGTCTTGGTGTCATACATTCTATGAATTTGGACACATGTAAGTAAAATGACATGTAACCTTATTATAGTATCATAAAAAGCCCCACCTGTTCATCTCTGCCCCCTGCAACATCGGAACTTCATTCCTCCTTATGGTTGATAATATCCCACTGTAAGTCCAGAACACACTTTGTCTACCTGTCGATGGACATCTGGATTGTTCATACCTTTCGGCTGTTGGGAGTAATGCTGCTGTGAACACAGCTGTATGAGTGTCTATCCAAGTCCTTGGATATATGTCTTTACAGGGACTTTCCCACAGAAATGAGGTTTTGTTGACAACATCCATTTACCTCGTCCCACTGGAGGAGCCTTGCCTGCAGCAGGACTAGGTGCCGCCAATGCTGGAAACTTCTTCCCCAGAAAAGAATCCCAAATGGCAGCTGGTCTGTCTGCTCTGTCCTGGGAAGGACAGCAGTTAGGGGCTCCCGTTTCCCCAGGCTGAAAATTACCTACAGAGTCTCATCCTTCACTCTAGGCTCCAAGCACACTAACCTCTGGAGGGACCCGAGGCCTATCCCGTTTTCTTGAATAGAACCTGCTCCTCATCAGGGTGATAAACATGTTTATAAACAGAACAAGAGCTGGGCAGGACAGTGCCAAACCTCACTCAACTGGCCTAAGATGAAGGTTGAACATTGAACAGGATTGCACCTTGCAAACCCCTTCAGAAAGGGCCTTCGGAGGGAAGCAGCCAGTGCTCTGTGTTCTCTGTCCTTTGCTTCCGGCTGTGCTGCACAGCATGTCGGATCTTAGTTCCCTGACCAGGGATCAGACTGACGCCCCCTGCAGTGGACGCACCCGAGCACTACCCACCAGACCACCAGGGAAGCCCCCACAGTTTCATTTGTTGCAACAAGCGGCTGGGGGACTCCGAGGCAAAGACAGGCACAGAAGAGCCCAGAGGAACTCTCTGGACCCTGAGGGCCTCCTCGCACCTGAGCACATGTGGTGTTTCTGGAGAAGGGCAAACAAAGTTGTGCTGACCTCCCGAGGGGTCAATGAAGCCAGGTCCCAGGGCAGCTTTTTGTCTGGTTTGGTTTTTACATGAATGAATGATCACAAAAACATCAACTAACACAAAATTACAGACTACAAATATACAGTCCTGCTTAAGTTACCCCTCAATCCCACTGCCTCTTCTCCCTAAGGCCACCACCCCTCACATCTGAGTTCATGAAGCTGCTTCCTGCAATGTACATGTGCACACATTCATAGCAACGCTGGCTGTGGGGAGCGGGGAGGCAGCAGCCAGGAAACAGATCACAGTCACCAGGCAGGACCCTCACCAGGGCTGAGGTCGCGGCCTCCCCAGCTGTCCCTCCCGCGGCTTTGGCCACACCACCCACACCGTCCATGCCGCCTGCCCTGCAAGGGACGCAGGCCTCACCTACTCTTGCAGCGCCCAGCGCCCAACAGAGGGGCCCGGCCCAGGAAGGCAGCCGTGCTCCCACCCTCATCCGGTGGGTGGTCGTAGAGAAGGCAGACCAGAGCTCCTGCAAGGAGTGAGCCAGTCTGAAGCCGCCGGGCAGCTCGGTTGCCACTGGCTGGGCTGGCCTCAGAAAAGCCACACCTCCTCCCTGAACACTGAACACAGGTGCCCTTCTCTAAAATGGAGCCAACGAACACAAGCCTGCCTCGGGCCCTGACCTCCGCATGGCGCCTGTGCCGGCCGGGCGTGGGGACAGGTACACCCTACTCTCTCCCTCTGGCCCTGCGGCAGCCTGGGGCAGGTAGCCACTCTTCCTGGCCAGCAGGGGCCCTGGAAAACCACTTTCCCTTGGCTTCAGGAAGCTGAGGGAGGAAATGAATTCTAATCACAAATTCTGCACTTGCCCTGGGGCCACCCCACCCCCAGTCTCAAGTTCACTGCAGAGGGGCGGGGCAGGCTGGTGGCGCCTGTCCATCAGCCCGCGGGCACAACTCCCCGGCCCTGGACCACAGGAAGGAACTCTGCGTTTCTGCCCTGAGCTTGGGCCTAATCTGCAATTCTGGGCAAACAGGAAAAATTGCACTCAACTTCCTGTTGGACTCACAAGAACAGGTGACAGTGGTCATTTCGGATGGTGGGGATGCCACACAGTGCGTCCAGAAAGTGGTGGCTGCCTTAGCTGGAGTCGTCAGGGGTCTCCCCCATCAGAGTGGAAGTGCTGAGACGGAAGCTGACAGAGGAGCTGAGGAAAGGCTGCTCCCTCCCAAGGAGAAGAGCGAGGGCCCAGAGGTGGGAAGGAACCTGGGTGCTGGAGGAGGGGAGGGCGGCCAGTAGGCAGCACAGCAAGGAAGGAGAGCGGAGGTGCCGGGGTGGGGGTGCGGAGGAGCACGGGTTACTGAGTGCAGGGGGCAGGGAAGGGACATGCCCCAGCAGCTGTGACTACCAGCTGAGCACTGTGGGGTTGAGCCCACCTGTTCCTGGAACTGAGCACCATGGGGATGAGCTGTGCCTGCTCCTGGAAAGCACGCTCCCACCTGGCATGCCTGGACAGCGCTCCCTGGGCTCCCGGCTCAGGGGCTCTGGGGGTGGGGTCAGGAGGGTCAGTGCGGTGCAGCCACTGAGGCTGCAGCCACGGCTCCCCCAGGGCCCCGGGAGGCGCCTGCTCTCTTCGGGACTGTCCCTCTGAAAGGCCTCTGCCTGGCACCCCTCCCAGCTGGTGTGGCCATTTCCCCACCCGGAAGCCCCTCCAGTCACTGCCTGTCATGCCTTCCCTCACAAATAGAGGTCAGGCTTCCTAATGGAAAGCAAGTCTGTCTTAAAAAGGAAAAAATATTCAGTGGGACTCAGTGACCTCTGCTCAGGGGGTCATGCAGCGCTCGGCTGGCGGCCCCACGGGCCCTGGGCCAGGCAGCTTTTCTGAGGAGGGGGTTCTGGGGACCATGCTCCGGCTAGGAGCAGCCACGGGAGCCCCGCAGGAGGAGGGAGGCCGCAGTGGGAGGAGGCGCCCGGGCGCCCTGTGCCCGCCAGCTCTGCTCCAGGAGCGGTGCTGCACTCCTGGCAGACCCCAGACCGGGAGTGGGGCGGGGGGAGAAAGCGGTCATGGGATGAAGGACAGAGACGCATGGGGCCCCCTCCCGCCCCCTTCAAGGGCCACTGGATAGACTCCACAGTGGGCTGCCAGGCAATGCAACCTCATCCCTGTCTCCTTCAACCCCACGGCAGGTAACTTCACAGTGAGGGAACGGATGCAGAGAGACCTCTGGGGGCCCTGCACAGGCAGAACCCAGCCAGCAGCCTCCAGAGCGAGCCTGCAGCGTGCTCGACGCCCCCTCCCCCCTGGAGCGCAGCTCACCCAGGGGGCAGCCCCGCCGCTCCGTCCTCAGGCCTGGCTCCACATGCCACATGGCTCTAGCCATGGCCGGAGACATGAGACCTCAGCCTGCCTCACCTTGTAAGTGGGGAATGTAATTCCCCCAAACAACTGGATTTGAAAAAAAAAAACTCGCTTTCAAATGACAAACAGACCCCTATGTTAAGCCTGGGGAGATTCTATCTTAACCACCCAACCACACTGGGCGCTCTGCCCCCTTATAAACTGCCTCTCTGGGAGTGCCCAGCACCCCTTCCGCCCCCTTGACTTAAACTTTTAGTCGTTTTACAAACTTCTCCGTAGCCGCCTGTTCTGGGCGCGGTCCCGGGGACACAAGCATGAGAGACAGCTCTCCAGGAGCCCAGTGGTCACACTGCCCGCAGTCAGACGAGAGGCCAGCAGGGCACGGACTCCGCGTGCGTGCCAGAGGGATAAGGACCCCAGGGTGTGTGACACCGGGGACGGGGACAAATGCAAATGGGGGAGCTCCTGGGAGGTGGGGCAGGAGCTGTCATCCCCACACGAGGGAGCAGAAGAGCCAAGGCAGAAGGTGACGCACCAGATCGGCATTTCAGAGAAAACCCTGGTGGCCAAGGAGGAAAGAGGGCAGAGTCCAGAAGCAGAGGCAGGATGAGCGGGGGTGGACTCCACCAGACACGCTGACCTGGGGGTGGGGGACAAAGGCCCCAACAGTGAACAGAGAAGGCTGGCCCAGGGCTGGGGCTTGGGTGGGGTGGAGGAGGTGCTCCCTGGGGGGCTGTGAAGGGCTCAGGCTGGAGGAGAAGCTGGGCTGCTGTGCTGAGGTTCTGCCCAGACACCCAGCCGTCAGCCCTCACCCCCGCACTGGCCCCTGGACTCCTGTCACCCCACAGTCTTCGCACACGGCCTCTCCACATACCCAGAGCCCACCAAGGAGCCGACTGCGGCCCAGCTGGCAGGAGACAGCCCTGCGCAGAGGGAGCGGGGCTCAGACACTGCCTGGTCCCGCTGACCCCTGCCCAGCCCACCCGCCCAGGCCCCGCGCCCACCCTGACAGCAAGAACAGCTCAGGTCTGAGCTCCTGGGGCTTAGCCTGGCCAGGCCTTAGTCACTACGCCACAGGACAGCGGGTGGCGAGGCTGTCTCAGTTGTTCCCTCCTCACGGGACACTCCCCGCCTGTTTCCTGGGAGTGCAGTCAGGAAACAGAGAAGAAGGAGGAGGCTGGGTCCAGCTCTGCAGACTGCAGGCCAAGGATGGGGTGGCAGACAGGGAGGCAGGCAGCAAGGCGCGCAGTCCCAGGCCCAGGGAGTCCCATGTGACCAAGAAACCGGCGCCTCTCGGGCAGTGTACCCGGCGAGGGCGGGCAGGGCAATGAGTCCCTGCACCTGGTGGCCCCTCTCCAGCCCTGAGGGCGTGTGGGGCGTGGGTGAGAAAGACACAGAACCGGTCACTGCCTGAGAAGAAGATACCCAGGGGGCCAGGCAGGAACGTGGCGGCAGGACAGGGAAGGGCAGATGACCTGCGCTGGGGGTCGGGTATACGGCTCTGCTCCCAGGGTGCTTGAGTAGAGGGGCAGGGCAGGGGGCACAGGGCATCTGGACTGGCGAGCAGGGAAGAGTGGGAGGAGCTCTAAGGCAGAGAAGGGGGGGACGGTGAGCATTATCCCAGGGGCCAGCACTAGGACAATCAGAGAGGTGGCGAGGGGGGCCTGGGCGCAGCAGGTCTAGAGCAGGATGCAGGCCCAGTCTGTTCAAGCCTGAGCTCCTCATGGCAGGCCCAGTGTGCCTGCCCCCAGGCAGACCCCAGGGAAACGCTCAAGCCCACTCCCAAGCATCTGCTGGAGGCCTCGGACATAGCCTCAGGACTGTCAGGGACGCAGGGGGAGGACGCTCCTCTCCCGGCCCAAGGCCTCAGCAGTCAGATGGCCCCCACTCTGTGGCTGACAGGGGGTGACAGTCACCGACTGCAGCCTGACACGCCACGTCCGCTCCCCTCGCTGCCCCGTTTTTACCACCCTCACCCCAGCTCCAGCTCTCTTCCTGCTCTGGAGCTTGTTTGTGGCAAACAACTCCCCGCCCCACCCTCTCCCTTAATGCACCCTTCCTCCAGGCCAGAGAGCAGGGGGCCCTGACCCCCTTTCTGCAGGGTCTCCCCACCCACCACCCACTTCATTCCAGTTCTTGGCCCCCTTCTCTCAGCTGCCTCACTACAAGGCATTCAAAGGTCAAGCATGCTGGCCTGGCTCAAAGCTCCCCAACTTCACCCGCTCTCTTTCTGAGCTGGCCCACACTCTGTCTGTGCAGTGTGTTTCTCTCTAAATAAACTGACTTCTTGTCTCTCATTGAATTCTTTCTGTGATGAGACATCAAGAACCTGAGCATTAGTAAGTCCTAAGACCAGGTGTGTGATCTCAAGAGCTATGAAGGGACAGTGATAAGGTAAGAAAACGTTGAGAGTTAGGTCTTGGTCCGAGACAGGCTTGTGCAATGCCCGAGTCAGGCGTACTGGGGAGGACGCTCCAGTGATGTCTGCCCGCTTCTGTCAGGCCTGTCAACCCCAAACGCTTTGGGGCTCTGATCAGGAACCTAGCTCTGGACCAGAGGGATGGTAGCCGTCGGCCTGGTCTGCTATGGGAAGGTGGCATGGAATGGCTATGCTCAGGCACGTCCGACAGCAGGGCCAGGACAGGCCTATCAAGGCAGGATTTGAGAATCCAGACTTCTCCTTGACTCTGACGTTTGCTTCCTATGTTCTATGTGTTCACTCCTGTTTCATATCTTGCTTCTCTTAACCCCAGAAGACCTGTGTGACTGCCAAGACGGACTTTTTATTGACAAGTGCTAACCCTTTACTTTCAACCGGCCTACTCCTGCTCATCATCAACACCGCTGGGGAAACCTTCTGTGCCGTCCCTTTGCAACAACTTTTCAGGCGCTGATGCCTGGTTGGAAGGGATAGCATCTAAGATCTAAGTGCAAATCTTGTTCAGACTGAGCAGCTAGACACTTCACCTCGGGCTTGGGTCTAGAATGGGTCGGGCTGCTTCAATTTGGCTAATATCCCTCTGGGCCATATACTCCAGGGTTGGGAAAGATTCAGACAACAGGAATTTTTAAAAGTACCCTATATTCAAATTTTCATGACTCTGTATCTAGGCAGTGGAACCCAAAAGGAATTTAAAGCATGTCTAGCTCGGAGGGATGACTCTAGGAAAAACACAGAGGACATTTTGCTGAATCCCACTGTGGGATCATGCAGGGCACTGAGTCGGGTGGGAGGCCGTCTTTGAGGCCGGCTCACAATGGAATCGCCTTGTGAATGCTACTGGCAGAGACAGACAGCCATATGACTGACCGCAACATGTCAGGGAAGCTAAAGGACACACCCAGAGGCACTGACAGCTCCAAGGGTGACCCAAAGACCAAAAAGCGGGTGCTGGCCCAGCTCCTGGAAATCCCCACCGTTTCCCCAAATTGCTAAAAGGATCCTCCCACTCATTAGCTTATGAAATTATCCAGTCCATAAAAGCTAACCAAACTGTATTCCGAGGTCCCTCTCACCTTCTGAGATAGCCCACACTCTAAGCCCACACTTTATTTTTTCTCTAAGTAAACCCACTTCTTACCTATCACTCTGTCTCTTACTGAATTCTTTATGTGATGAGACACCAAGTGAGCTTCACTAAGCTCTGAAACCAGGTGTCTGATCTCATCTGGAAAACTGTGGATTTTGACTGGGTTCCAGTCCCAGTATGTGGATTCAAGTCCCAATCTGAGTTACAAAGTTTCAGTTGGAAGACACAAACAGTAAAACCTGTTAATTATAAAAATGTTAAAAAAAACTTAAAAAAAAAAAAAAAGCAAAAACCAAACAAACAAAACCAGAAAACTTCAAGAACAACAGGATGAAAAGCCTGCGGTCTTCCAAGGGAGACTAGTGGAGACTTCAGGAAACACAGGAACGAGAATCCTCCCCAGAGGGACACGCCCTTTTGACTAAGCACTTCATAGCCCAGTCGGCCCTAGACATCAGGCACAAAATTCAGAAAGCATCTGCTGGTCCTCAGTCTCCAATGAATGACTTGTTTCAATTGGCTTCCTCAGCTTTCAATAATAGGGAGTTATCTGAAAAGGCTGAACACACCCAGAGAAATATGCAAAAGGCCCAAATGACGGTACTGGCTTTGTCCACTCAGAGACTACCAAAGGGGAATCGGTTTTTCTGGTGGGCCACTAGGCTCAGGGGACCCAGACAAGACCAGGGTACCCTGTGCAGACAAAAGGGGCACGAAGGGAGGATTGCAATTTATGTGTCCTTTGCAAAGAGCCAGGGCATTGGAAGAGGGAATATCCCAGATGCCAGAGTGACGTGGGCCTCCTGGCCATTGATGGTTTTATAGTCAAAAGACTGAAGGAGGGGACCTCCATGGTGGTCCAGGCACTAAAATTCCATCTCCCAATGCAGGGGCCCTGAGTTTGATCCCTGGTCAGGGAACTAGATTCCACATGCCACAGCTGAGAGTTCTTACAGTTTCATCAAGAAGGTTCACAGAAATGCTATGGAAGCAGTTACAACAATTTCACATCAAGATGATTGGCTATGTGAGCATTCCAGTCCACACTGACTGAAAGCAAGGAGCTGTCCTGCCCCTGAGGCCCCAAGATCAGGCATCCACAGATTTTTACACCTTCAAAGGCAGAGTCGATGCCTCTGATCAACCTTGAAGCAGTTATACAAGACAGACCATTGCCCCTTTGTTTCCCGTGAGAATATGGGAGTAAAAGTCTGAGAGGGTAAAGAGGCAGGAGGGAAGGGGGCTGGGACAACCTCAAAACCTCCACACCACCACTCCTCCCACTCACCAGCCCATGAAATTACCCACCCCTCTGAAAACTGACAGCCCCACATCCCGCTGCTGTTCTCACCTTCTGAGCTGGCCCACACTGTCTGTGGAGGGTGTTTCTCTCTAAATAAATCCACCTCTTACCTATTAAAAAACAAAACAAAACCCTCCCCAGCTTTAGAAGCCTTTACATCTCTGATGCTTTGTCTACACGCTTGCCGGCCCCAGGAGCTCTTCATCTTGGGCACATAGCACAAACACCCTGACTGTCCTGGAGAGCTTCACTTCCTCCTCCCACTTGCCACAAGTCCATCTGCCCTCCCCACAAGCCCTTTGGGGTTTTACTCCCTTGTCTGCTCCGCCTGACCCGACCCTCCAAACCTCCGCTCCACCAGTCACGAGCTCCTGTCTCAGCTACCCGGCAGAACCCCCATGAGAAGCCAGCCTGACGGCACGCTTCTCTGCACCCACACACCAACCACAGAGGTAAAGTCACACCGCCCCACTTGACGCCCCCGGAGCCTCCTGGCAGCCCTCCACTTGCCTCCAGGCACCCTCTCCCAGCCCCAAAGCAGCTGACAGCTTCACACCTCTCCCTCTCCTTGAGAACCGGGTGTCAGGCCGGAGCACCCACTCGTGTCTGACCCTGGCCCTTGATCTGCAACCCCCACTCTTGGTTCTGGATCTCAACTCTTAGGACTCCGACTCTCCTGCATCTCTAATGCTCCTTCTCTGGTTAGCCAGGCCCTCAACCCCAGCCACAGCATCCAACACTCCCCTTGAGCTACGCCAGTCCTCTTTCTTTTCTCCCCAGTCAAACTTCTGAGGAGAGCAGAAGTCTCTTCTGCAGCGTCTCCGCCCTTGCCCTCGATGCCTTTACTGCCTGGCTGCCCGACCTAACAGACACTTCTGAGCTCTTATCTCTCTGACACACACAGCTGACCCCACCACTGCGCTCAGTTCTCCTCCCCCAGGCCTCCCGAAACCCCTCCCTCCCATCTGTCTCCTCCTCTCTGGCGGCTGCTGCTCCTGTCCCTCAAATGTTCCTTTTGCAGAAGTCCATCCTCTTCCCAGCTTCCCTGAGGGCCCAGTGGTAAAGAATCCACTTGCAATGCAAGAGACTCAGGTTTAATCCCTGGGTCAGGAAGACTGCCTCGAGGAGGAAATGGCAACCCACTCCAGTCTTCTTGCCTGGAAAACCCCATGGACAGAGAAGCCTGGTGGGCTACAGTCCCTGGGGTCGCAAAGAGTCAGACATGACTGAGTGCGCACATCCATCCTCTTCTAAGCCTAGATTTCTCAGGTCCCATACCTCCAAGTGTTTTGCTGAAACCTCCCAACCTTCACACACTCCCTGTGAAAGGCAGCTAGCTCTGACTCCCAAACAGCTCTGCCCTGCTCTCCCCATGAAACCCCCTCACGTCCACTGGCCCTGCCCCCTTCAGCATTTGACCCTACCTGCCCTCCAATGGCAGCTTCAGGAGTCTTGACAGTGGGAAGGGGGAAAGCTAGGACACGCTGGTTCTTCCTTCTCCTCTCAGGCGAATCTGCTTCAAATGCGCCCTCCTTCACCGGCCCTTCCAGACTCCTGACCCTGCAGGCAGGACTGACCTCCACACCTCCTTCTCCGGATCTGTCTGAACTTGGCACGCCTGTGATGACCTGCTTATGAGTCCAGCCCTTCTTCCCTGCTGTGACTTGGAGCCCGGCGCCTCACACCCCACTTGGTGCGCCCAAGGAGGAGGAAACAGAGAAGGAAACAGATGGAGACTCAGGAAAATCCCAGACCACTTGGGCCCGAGAAGGAAGCTTAACTCTCAACCACAGGGGCCATCCGGCAACTTGTCTGTTCTAGCTATGTACACTTCCCAGCAGGCATCCTCATGTGATGAGATGGCAAGCTGGGTTCTGCCTCAGCCCTAAAGCAGCATAGGGAATTTTTCAAATATTAGTGGCAGCTGGCATTCCACACTGAGTGCCAGCTACCGGGAACCCGATAGGGGCCCTTGGCGGATGGCACACAATGGAGGGCACGCGCCAGGCGTAAACGGGTGTGGCCACTGAGGAGGCATTAGTCACAGCACCGCAGGCCAGCTGGCTGGCCCACCTGCTAGTACTGGTCGGAATTTCAAATGCAGGTCTTAGCGGTGGCACCTGAGCCTAAAGATGGGACCTGAGCAGGGTAAAGTCCTAATGGTATTAGCCACTCAAAAAGGTTCCCTGCGAGGAATTCCCTAGTGGTCCAGTGACTGAGACTCTGTGCTTTCACTGCCCTGACCCAGGTCTGATCCCTAGTTGAGGAACCAATTTCCTTCAAGCAAGCCGCTGGTTTGGTCTACCCACAGATGGCTGGGATTGCAATGGGGCTCCGCTAATTCAGGATCTTTATCTTCTGAGTTTAAAAGGTCCTCCCAGCAGTAGGTCTGGGAAAACACCCCCCAAGGGCACAGGAGAAACCAGCTAGCTGCAGGGAATGAGAACCAGAAGGAGGAAGCCCAGCTGTCAGAAGCTAGAATCCTGACTGGTCTGAATTCCAAGCAAGGCGCCGGTGACAGGCGTGCCTCAGAAGGCTGGGCACACAGCAGGCTCTCGGCAAGCATCTTCAGGCGTGACTGCAGAGTGGGCTGAGAGGGAATCTTGCAGGCTGAATCATTTCAACAGGCATTCGAGACGCTTTCTGAATGCCACTGTGCTGAGTGCTGGAACACGAGGATGCAAGGCCACCCCACTGCTCAGTGAGCTTCAGGATGTGGGGACATGGTGTACTGACCCTACCAACTCAGGTGCGGATGCTGTGAGGAAGAAGCACAGGGTGTCTGGGCCCCCAGCCCATGAGGAAAGAGGGGCCTGGAAGCCTTGCCCCGCCAGCACCCACCTGGCCTAGATCCTGAAGGCTGAGGCGGCCTGCACCCAGGAAGCAGCAGAAACAGCCCTGGAGAGCACAGCTGCTTGGGGCCAGTGAGTGTCATTCATGGCTCATATTCAAAGACACTTCTACAGTCCAGCTTCATTGGCTCCAAGAAGCCACAGGGCCTGGCTTCACCGGGCTACTGAGAAAGGAGTGCGCGCCTGTATGCTGGGAGGTGGGGGAGGAGACGACCCAGGGAGGCAGGGAAAGAAACCAGAGGCAGGTGGAGTGAACACACACCTATGGCTCCCTCTAAGGCCCACAAGTTTAGGAAGACAGGAAGGCGGGAACCACGCCTGCTAAGAAAGGAATTACAGAGGGTAATCAAGGAATGAGGACAAACGAATTCAAGGGAAGGCTGAAGGGACAGAAGCCAGGAGAGCTCTTGGTGGGACTCAGGTAACTGAGCTTCATTTAGAATGCTATGCAGCGAAAGGGCTTTTATTGGTAACAGAATCACCCACCAGCAAACAACTGGTATCCAATTAAAATTGTGTAACGATTAGGTGGACACACAGTTTCAGGTTATGTGAAACAGGCCAAGCCATGTGTAGTGGCTTCTCAATGGCCTGTAAGAGGAGAGTGCAGCCTGGGCGGGCTGGAGGAAGAAAGCATGACTGCTCACACATGACCCCTGCCAGCAGCTCCGTGGGCAATATCCAGGGGAAACGGCTAAGGTCCAAGAGCGAGGCAGGGGACCAGGACTGCACAGGGCAGAAGGAGAGCTTGTCTCCTGTGCCTTTCTGTGAGCAGGTTCCATAAGAGGCGAAGGTCACTGTTAACAGCACTCGTCCAGAGACCAGACAGCCCTGTGGGGCCCTGCGCCTCCTGTGGGCAGAGGAGCTCCTGGTGCAACGCCAGCCTTTCCTTACTCTCTCCTGGCGGCCCCTCAGTGTGGGGACAAGCTTGGGAGGAAGCACTACACACTTGGCCTCTGTATCCTCAACAGTCCTTCCAAAGTCCCATCAACTCTAACACTGAGGCACTACATAGAAACGGGTCCCGGGAGGAGAGCGAGAGGACCCAGAGAGTTCTTGGATCCCTCTCTGGATCTGAGGAGGTCTCTTTCCAGAGATCTAGTGATGAGAACTTGCTGAAAGGACCAACCCTAAGGCTGGAGGAGAATGAGGTCCTTTGAGCTGAGTGACAATCTGGAACTTTCTTGAAAGGCAAACAAACACATTTGACAGGAAGGCCCGGGGAATCAATTCTGTGATTTTGCACTTTTGGTATCTTACATTTTGCTGTTTAACCAACAACCTGAGGCTCTGTGACAGATACAAGAAGCTCACTATCTTGCCCCCATCCCCTCAAAAGGCAGGAGGTAATCAATCAGATTTTTGTTACCTTATCTATTCTGTCCTACGGACGTGAAGCATCAGGCCTCTCCAGGGTCAGTCTTCTTTCTCTCACCCCACACACACTCCTGGGAAGGCACACCCCACACCCTGGCTTCAGTGCCCACGCAGGAAGGAGCGCTCACGGCTCCAGAGCAGTCTCTACCGAGGAGCTGTTGAGGACTCTCAGCTCAGCCTCTCCACACCACCCGCCGTCACCCACTCCAGGCCTGTCCCTTCCAGCACACAGTGCAGCCGGGCCTGCCAAGTCACCCGGCTGCAGAGCGTTCCCGAAGTCCTCCTCCATCCCTGGGCCTTCCCGTCCCCGCGGCCCCCTGTCGTGTGGTCTTGCTCTTTCTTTTGTTCCCAAGGCCCTTCCTTGGTGCTGGGCCTTCTGGTGTTCTGTTAACCACCCCGACCCACTGTAGCCTCGCACCAACCCACCCCAAGTCACTCATGAGGGCACAATCTAACCAGTCACTCACAAACCCAAGATCCCCGAGTGGCTCCCCACTGCTCTCAGGGCAAAATGCAAACTGGGGACTGGTACTCATGGCTCTCCTGACAGCCAGCAGCTTAGCTCCCTAACTCCATCTCCCTTTCCTCACCCCAAATACCAGTGCTACCCACTGCCCTATTTCCAACAGCCAGGAGACTGCCCTGGTAGTTCACACACTGTCCCTTAGCCAAGAAGGCGCTCCCTCACGTGGTTGTTCTTTAAAAAAAAAAAAATTTTTTTTTTTTTTTTTCTATACCACATGACTTGTAGGATCTTAGTTCCCTGACCAGGGACTGAACCCATGCCCTTGACAGTGAGAACCCAGAGTCCTAACCACTGGACAGCCAGGGAATTCCCTGATGTTCAAAATTTAATTTAAGTGCTTCTCAGGAGCCACCACCAAAGGCCAGCTGGACTCCACCCCCTGTGCCCACAGCAAGCTCAGCCCACCTCAGGGGGAGTGCCGCCCGCTGCACCACAGCTCACTGACCTGTCTCCTCACTGCACCCCAATCTCAAGGGCACAGGCTCACTCAACTCTGGAGCTGCAGAGCACGGGGCACAAGTCCTCATCACGTGAAGTATGACTTGGACAAATTTGTGTTGAAAGAACAATGAAAATCGTCAAATAATGAATTTAGGTTGGTCTTTAGTGAAAAGCCCAAGGTACTGCTTCTTTGATATTATCTCCATTTGGAAAGTGACACTTGAAACAGCCACTGAAACTGCTGCTTTGAGTTAAAAAGGCTTTCTTTCTTCCCTGCACAGAGTTGTCATAACAGAGAAGGTATGCTCAAACAGGTAAAACATTGAACAGGGTCAATGTTAAGTGCTTTTTTATAACCTGCTTATTGTCCTTATGTACTTCAAGCCAGAAACCATCTAAAAGCAAACACTTAAATATGTCTTCTGAGATCGGCTCAGACTGCAACGAGACTTGGGAGCAACATGGTGTGCCCAAGGTCACTTGGCCGGCTGGACAGTCCTGGCAGGCGTGGTCACTGACAGCTAGCACAGCTCACCTGCAGGTGAACTTGCAAATCCAGGAGGTGAATTCTGTCCTCATTATTAAAAGCCGGCCTAAATAACTAGATTACTTCTACATACCCTGAAGGTCACCGTTCACCCAGATGAAAACTAGTGCACTCGTTTTAGCACCGAGTTCATTTCACCATTCTCTGTGACGCAATGAAGGAGCAGAGAGGACTGTGACTTGGCTCAGCTCTGTTCACAGGGAGAGACTAGTTTCTAAACAAAGCACTGGATCCTGAATAAGCACTGCTCCTACAGGCTTTAGCTAAGAGCTGAGAAGATTAAATGAGGAACAACCTTCAGGATAAAGAAAGCACATGCTGGAGGTTATAGCACTGTTCAGAAATGGTAACTGTAATACCTTTGTGAGATTTCTTGATCTTTTCTTACCTTGGTTTGTTTCTTCCAGCCTGGATCCCTTAAAAAGAAAAGAACCAACACACCTATCTTCAAGACAATTAGGTAAATGTTCAGAGGTCGCTACTATGTGCTGTGGCAAGAAGATGGAGGGGAGCCCCCACATTTAAGTAGGGGAAACCACTATTCCTGTCAAATAATGGAATTTTTTTCCCCTCCTGTAATTGTCTGCAAGTTCCTGTTGATGTCAGAGCAAACATACAGAGAAATAAGAAAAATCACTTGCAAGTGCTTCTACTGGCCCTGGAAAGGCAGACAAGACTCCTCACTACGAATAAGCAGCTGGCCAAAGATCTCAAGATCAGCATCACAGCAGCAGCCACGTGAGGTGGGGACTGTGCCTCCCAGGCACACCGCTATCCTAACAGTCAACCCACGCCTTCACCTAGCCCAGTGGGTGCTCACACTGCCTCTGGCCTTTAATGTCAACGCAGCAGGCGGTGATCCAGGAGGCCCAGTGCTCCCTACTGAGCAAGTGTCCCCTACCGAATAAGGCCACCAGGCCACCAGCACCCTTCCTGGGAGAGGACCTTGACCTCTCCAGGCCCATCCTTGACCTCCAGCTGTGCTTTCTCAAGGCTGAGGAGTACAGTGCCCAGGGGCCCTGTGGAAATAAACGCTTTTGTCCCCGGCACAGCCCGGCGGCCACCCGAAGGTACAAGTCACCCCAGACCCGCGAGGCAGGGCTCAGAGGCTGCGTAGATACCTAGGCGGCAGGCGGGCGGGGTGCCAACCTGGGGCAAGCGGAGGGTGGGGACGGGAGCAGTTTGCAGGTCTTCCAAGACAGAGCGTTATCATAGAATCTGTTGCAGTTTCGAATCCATAAGAGGATTTCCCACCCCGCAGAGCCCGAAAGCGCCCGAGGAAGGAGTACCCCAGAGCCAGCTCATTCCCACCTCCCCCTCGCCGGAGCCGCCCGCCGGACCGCCAGCGCCTGGCGAGAGGCGCCCGCGCGACCCCCGGAATGGGGGTCCCGCACGGGGCCCAGGCCTGCTCTGGCCCCACGTCGCGCCCCACCGGGCGCTCGGGACGCGGCGCAGCGCTGGGGGCAGTGGGCAGCGCCGGCCGCGGGCCCCGGAACCCCAACCCGCGCCGCG